TCCTTCATCAGGGGTGATCTAATCGTTGCCGCAACGAGTAAGAGGTCCTTTTATATGCTCACTAATTAGCTGCCTTTTTTTCTGACGAGGTGTAAATAGGCGTCAGTTAGTAAGCCGCCATTATTACGATTTAAAGGAGCGTGCGCTGAGTTGATATGCCAGGCTTCCAAACAAAGGCGCTGGTGGCAACGTCGACTAGTGGTAATAACTTGAGAATTATCCCATCGAATTGTGTGGTTAGTTAGGCATGTGTCCTCCGACAAAACTTAATTTTCCTTTTTGTAAAAGAAGACCACTCTTTGATGCGCTTTTAAACGTGTACCAAACTGACGTTTGGCAGTCAGATAAACTCGTGATCACGGCCTTGTATGGAATAGAATAAAAAGCGTCAGTTCGTTTTTCTTTCATGACAGGAACCTTAGGTTTGGCAAGCATATGCCCCAAAGTTCGAAATGGTTTTTTAGCAACTTTAGCGTTATGGCTATGCAAAATTCACTTGATGAGTTCCTTAACACCCTAGATGCAAGAAATGACAGCAAAACCAGTCGCTGGTTCCTTCCCATAAGAAGTATTACTAGTTGTAACTGGTTTGTGGCAGTCACGAGAAATGTTTTTGTATATCTATTGCCCTTTAAGACGTCGGAAACATTTTTTTTCTCTCCTCAGCCTTCGAATTAAGCTAATCTTGTTCCAACTATTAGATCACCCCCCCGATGAAGGCATTGGGAGGGAGGGTCGAAAGGTTGGCTCGATGAATTGTAATTTCCTAGTTACATTCATTAAATACTTAAACCAGAATAGCATAAAACCCATATCTGATCGTCCACCGGCCACCTGGTTGCCTTGTGAACTATAAAATGTATATCTAAAGTTACTTTATGACGTAAGTAAAGTTATAGTCAATAAAGGTTTGTGGAGCGAAAAACTGGGTACTGTTTAGTGTGGTCATCCAAGACTTTACCTTGTTCTGCATTATTGCACAACGTCGAAGTGCTCCTGAGAAGAATAATCACAATTTTTACTTCGGGTTTGTGTACAGAATTTTTTAATGAGATTAATACTATGATTGTTTGCCAATGAAAACTAACAAAAAACCTTCGATCACTAATTTTAACAAATCCAGGCTCCTCCCGAAAACATGTTACAGCTGAGCTGGCAATTGTACAGCACAAACCTAACTCGTGACGTCAAAGGCATAATGTCCTCATGTCTTGTTGACCATTTTCTCTCTTTAGTTGCCGCGTGAAACAGTCAGAATTTCCTGTTTTGCCTCTACTTCTGTTTATTTCACGAAATGTGAGGCATACCTTACGATGAACTGTTTGCAAGTTCTCCGAAGCGTCTGGGAGTAGTTTTTCTTTGTCGAACGACGGACACGAAACGATTTTCCACCGCATGAGCTAAAATTAGCTACGAAGGGCAAATCGATATGCGAAGAGAAACGAGGGGAAAAATTTGTGTGGGAGATTTTCTGGAATTGATTAAATTTATGCCAATCTTTTCAAAACCAGCCCAAAAAGAGCTCTCTTAGTTTGACTAAAATTGAGTGGTGCAATTTTCTTACAACATAAATCTAAGTACTTCTGAATATAGTCGAACCAGTGTCAAGAAGACCGAATTAAGTGTTCACCCTGTATTATGCGGCCCGTTTTTTTGTCCTTCACCGGTATTGAAGGGTCACTGAAAGCGGGACCACTCAAATAACTAAAAATAATATTTCAAGTAATTTTTAATCTATTTTTCTCAACAAAAATCAAAGTGGGGATATTTCCGAGCGAGTTTCAGCATATTTAGTTGTCAAATATGGCATAAAGAAGCGTTGTTTTTCTTTTCTTAACTCTAATCGGTGGAACTGGTCAACCTGTATTAAGCAGTCACTCTGCCATTTCCTGTGAATGACCGCTTAATACATGTTCGACTGTATGTTTCTGGCACATTTACATTCTTCTCTGATTCCATGATATTACCAATTTATTAAATAATTGAGATAGTAGGTGCGCATTATTGGTCAACAGGCCAGTTTAGATGAGAGTGTGTAATCACAGATGTGACGTCACGCTTTTTTGTGTCTGCCTACTCAATTCGAAATCATTGCGTACTCAAAGCTTTCCCGATGTTTGCAAAGTAATTTCATAACAAATACCGGCAACATATATAAGAAATGGAAAAAAAAATGTGCCCAATTGGACGGCAAATCTTTAATAGCCAGACAAACTCCTTAAAGCATTATGAGCGATTCAACTTTTCAGCCATGTTTTAGGTTACCAAATCGGGCAAGTTTTCTTCAATTTAAACTTTTGCAATTCAAATTCTTTCGTTCAGTAACCGTATATTTTTTAAACATTTCGGTTTCTGTCTGTCAAAATTACGATACTTCAAAGCAGAAATCGTTTCATTCCCAGGGTGCTGGCACCTGCCTCCGTGATTTTCGATTAGTTTATGAGTATTCAGGTGTGCGTTTTGATTTTCTTGTAGGAAATACCATCACCCACAGCATGTAATAAGGAAAAACTAAATAAGAAACTTAGTAAATAAACAGCAGTTTTCTTTATTTTGTCATGTCATTGGAGAGAAATATCTATGAAAACAATTTAATATAGTTTCATTAGTCTTAACAAAATTATTCTAGTTGATCTGAAAATGACAGGAATCGCAACCTGGTAAGTTATCCGTTACAGCGGTGGTGAATTCTACCCCAAAACCATGACTTTTATTCAGGTTATCCGCCCTGAACTTGGTCAGGGTAGGAATAAACCGTCCTAGCCTGCAGTTTATCCTTGTAAAGCCTGTGACTCCACTTCCTTACGAGCACTGTCAGGCCCAAACATTGCAATGAGTGCAAGAAGCTAAGTTATTCTAAATTGATGCTATTAAACCCAGGAAATGTGGTTATAACAAAACTGAGTCCTATCGAAAATGCCCTGGGCGAGAAGTTCTGTCCTGCAGCAATACATACCTACGAAGAATGCAAGAAGACTGGACACTGCTGTAGTTTGTCGTATCTCAAAGAAAATTCTAATCAACCAAGTTGTTTAC